CTTAAAAAAAGGCTGGGCCGCTCCCGGAGGTGGATTTCTGGGAGGAGCCGGGCTTGGGAAAGGCGATCTCTCGCTCAGGAATGTCACCGGGCAGGTCCCGACCGCTTTTTTTTTGCTTTTGTTGTAACCTTTTGTTGCACAAAAAGAAAAAAAAAACAACAACCACTCCTGGGTGCCTCCTCTGCTCCCAGAGCCGGGGGAGCTCGGCAGGATCGCGCTTCCCGAAACGCTTCCCAAAATCCCGGAGCGTGGAGACCTCGAGGCACAGGGTTTTAAAGGAATAAAAAAGGATTAAAAAATAAAATGAGGATTAAACGCGGGAGGTGGTTGATGGCTCCAGGGATGATCCAGAGGGTGTCCCTTCCATGGGGGACACGGGCAGCAGGAGGAAGAGGAGGGGGCACCTTTTCCTTGGTGCTGGAGGAGGAGACCAGGGATTGAGGTGCCTGAGCCCACCTGGAGAAGAGAAGGCTCCAGGGAGAGCTGAAAGCCTCTTGCAGGGCCTAAAGGGGCTCCAGGAGAGCTGGAGAGGGACTGGGGACAAGGGATGGAGGGACAGGACACAGGGAATGGCTTCAAGCTGAAAGAGAGTAAATTTAGCTGGAATATTGGGAAGGAATTCCTGGCTGTGAGGGTGGGGAGAGATGGAATGGATTTGCCAGGGAAGCTGTGGCTGCCCCTGGATCCCTGGAAGTGTCCAAGGCCAGGTTGGAGCAATGTGGGATAGTGGAAGGTGGCCCTGAACTGGATGGTTTTTAAGACCCCTTCCCACCCAGACCATTGTGGGATTCTGGGATCTCAGTCCGGTTTTCCTGGTGTCCCTGGAGGGACAAGCCTTGTCCTCAGGGAGAGAAACTGGGAAGCTGCTCCTGAAGCAGCTCCAAGTGGCTGTTTTGGGAGGAAATGTGGGAATGGGGAACCTGCGGCGCTGAAGAAATCCCTGTTATGGGGTTTCCTGGCACAGCCATTCCTGGTGCTCCTGAGGGAAGGATATCGCTTGGAAAAATCCACTGGAACAGTGTTTGCTCCTTGAAGCCCTTGGGGCTGGAGCAGTGGAGCAAAACCAACCTGGGAGCAGCTCCAGGGGCCTGGTTTGCTTCAAGATAACTCCGGGCATTCCACACATTCCCAACGTGCCACTGCCCACCCTCCTCCTTCCAAAGGAGCTGCTCTCCCTCCTCATTCCCCAGCCAGGAGCTCCAGCCCCGAGGGAAAGGTGGATTTGAGGCATTCCTGACCCAAAGCAGGGAATGTGGGACCCCTGTGTGTGTCCATGCTTCCCTCTGGAATGCTGCAGCTCCCGAAATCCTCCTGTGCTCCCTGGAGATGCCAGCCCTGGATCCAGCTGTAGCCACCTCCATCCCTGCTGTTCCTGGCTGGATTGGGCTGGCAAACATGGCACCAGGTGCTCAAGGAGCAGGAGATCTCCTGGATTTGGGCACATCCATCAGTTTTAAGGAGATGCCAATAAAACCTGTGAGTGGCCCTGCAGGAGGCTGATCCCAAATGGATCAATCCCAGCTCCTGGCTGGGTGCTCCTCCATCCCAGGGAGCTGCAATCCCAGCTGGCTCCTGGGTTCTGCCTTGAGGCCTGTTGGAAGCTGTGGGTTGTTTTGGTTTCATTTTCCCGGGAATTTGGATAATTCACAGTGAGGAAAGTGCCAAAGTGCCCCGGGATGTCTCTGGAATGTGGCACAGGAGGAGCCCCTGGCACTGCTGGCACCAGGATTTTCTTTAACCCATTGCTGGGGAGATGAGCAGTTTT